TTTTTTTTTTTCCCCTTATGTTGTAAATTACGAGAATCACTGAATCAATTTTGGGTTTTTGCTCAATTAGAAAAGTCTCAGTTTCTTTCAATTTTATCTTTATTTCAATTCTCCATATAATCAATGATATAATTAAACAATATCGTTCAATTATTTGTATTATATTAATTTTAATTTACTATTCATAAACACATAATTTTAGGTATATATCATTTTCAATCAACTCTCTTCCTCTTTCAAATTACATTAACTTTAATTATTATATTTTAAATATTATTTAGTTTCAATCACTCTCTTCCTCTTTACCCAATTAGAAAAGTCTCAATTTCGTTCAATTTTATTTTATTTCAATTCTCCATATAATCAATGATATAATTAAATAATATCGTTCAATTATTTGTATTATATCCATTTTAATTCACTATTCATAAACACATAATTTCAGTTATTTATCAGTTTCAATCAACTCTCTTCCTCTTTCAAATTACATGAACTTTAATTATTATATTTTAAATATTATTTAGTTACTTATCAGTTCCAATCAACTCTCTTCCTTTTTCAAATTACATTAACTTTAATTATTATATTTTAAATATTATTTTTTTACTTGAATGCAAACTGAAAATTCCACTTCAGCAAAATTCAATCACCTGTTTTCCAAAACTGACTCATTTTTGTCCAATAAAATCAATTAAATCTCAAATAAGTTATATCGGTTCAGGCCATTAATTTTTCTTCTTTAAGTTGGTATTAGGTAATTAACTCTTTCTTCCAAGAATTGCATTTCTAAATGTTATAATTTCAATTGTTTTCGGGGGTTTTACCCATTGGAATCAGCCAAAGTGCTATTTAATGCGCCAATCTCCCCGGCCGGCAGTCGGCCCATTCAAAAACGTCGATTCAATCTTGTATCTTTCTCACAAGAATATTGATTTCCCTCGTGTTAACACTAAATTGATAAAGCATATTGATAAAGCAATCGCTCAATCAATCTTATAATAAAAAATCAAGATGTTGCATGGTAACGCGTGACACAACCCTACGCCCTTAGCTGACACCAAACATTTATTACACTTTCTCATTTTCTCCTTCCCCCAAGCCCTTCACAAGAAGGCTAAAAGATCGACGTTTATGAAGAGAAGCTGCAGACCCAAAAAAAATTAAAAAAAAAAAAACATCAAATGTTCTATTTACGACGACCAAATGATTATTTTAGTCTGATGGAGAAAAAAATATGACCTATGCGGTGTAACGTTTACTTGCAAATTACAATGACTCTGATGTAGTAATCAGGTAAAGAATATTTTTAATTAATCATGCAGTATCATATATCTAGGAGATGCTACGGTCCTGTTAGGGTACCATTCCTTCGGAATTTTTAACCATTAAATCAACTATCCTCGATATGTTGATCTAATTGTTACAAACATCGACGAAATGGTTCCATAACGGGTCCATAGCAGTTCACATGAACCCACAGCGGAGTGTAGGAATTCAATGCAAGGTTACAATGGACCTGACCCAGCCCAACATGGAAAACTTCATATCCACCGTTATGAAAGCTCATGAATGTGGCCCACCCCATAAAAAGACAGCTAACCGGCCCAATCGCTTCAAACCCATCAATAATCAAAAGAAAAGCAAGTATGCTAGTGGATATAAATAAAATCCATTTTAATTGAATTATTGATTAAAGTGAGTCAACATTGAATAACAGTTTATTTAGTTAAGGATTGAGTGAATTTTGAGTTTGTATTTAAATAATATTTAAAATATATGATTAAAGTTATTTTGATTTAAAAATAGGAGAAACATTATTAGAAATGATAGATATTTACAAAAAAA